GAATATATCAGGCTAGTTTTTTTTCTGTTAATATTGATGTGTACAATAAGCCGTTTTTGTGTTCTAAAACGTATTCAAGGAATAAACGTTTAAGCCATCTGAATTAGCAAATAAGAACGTCTAGGGTTTCATAAGACTTCAGGGTGTTTAAATGTGGGAAAAACGATATGCAATTAATGTTTAGTATTTTGTTGTGAAATATTGCATAGTTTAGACGATTTATCCATGAGTTCCAATTCTCATGTAAAATTTATATGCTATATCCATTAACAAATCCTCCTGTGAATTGTTTTCTCTACAAAATAATAAAACAGCAATTAAAACGCAAATAAACAAGTAAAAGATTACTATTTTTAGAGACATTATGTGCTAAATTATCTGGTTTATTCACAGAAAGTACATCAATATGTTCAGTAATAAATGTTCTGATTGAAACCTGTGACACTGTCAGTTCAAGGATTATCTCTTATGTTTATTGTCTGTGTTTTTACTCAGTTTGCCAGTCCTTTGGTAATAATAAATACTTTTTTTCTGTTATCTGTATTGTATAAGTATTAAGAACAATGCTTTGGTTGTGTCGATGGCTGTTTGGTCGGAACCTGTCATGTAGATAGATCACTGCCTAGTCAATAACAAAAACAATCCTTTTACGCATCAACAGGAAGTTTAGTAGTAATTAATAAAGCTCAGAAGATTATTATTCTGAAACCACTTGGTCTTATAAACCTTTATTCCTGTTACTATCAATGCAGTAAAGTTTCTTTTGGAAATCTCTGTAATAAATAACGTGTTTAAAAAAATTCAAACCAATTTTGACAGTTATGCATCTGAAAACGTTTTTACAAAGAAACAAAAAACGCTTTTAAATTAATTCATTATCCTTTCATTTTATTTAAGAAATACACCTTACAACAGTTTCCCTGTTTTACCTTTCATGGAATCGCTCGATAATTTGGTCGCTTTATGAAGTGCGGTTGCGAAAGTGTATTTGATGTTTAATTTTTACAATCACTATTGATATTCGGTGTAATTAAACAGATATATCATGTGCAGGAGGAGAATATGCGTAAAATATCAGCCTTGAGTAGAATTTATGTGGTTCAAGAAATTTTGCTTTCTCTCGACTGGTACTATTCGCAATTATCCCTCCTTAACCTGATATATATATATTCATTAAATCATAAAGATTCTTTATTTTTCATTGAAAAAATAACTGATGACATAAAAACTGGATGTTGTATGATTGATTGAAAGCTGTTTGCTTAACATCCAGTGGCAAATTTTTCATGCATAATCCGGACAAGAATTCATTAACAACAAATACAATGGTCAGATTATGCGATGTGTATCGGCCGGAATGAAGGACGGAAAAGTAGTATTGCCACTAAATATAGAGGGCATATTAGATTGGGGCAAACAGTGTACCTTGCAAATGGCAACCTATAGACCCCTCAAAGAGTTGTTCCACTTGTTCTTTAACGTGCAAAGAGCGTGGTATCTCCCTAAATGAGACAAGATATTACAAAAGATGCTAATATATTATATCTTATATAATCTCCTCGATTTAACACATCCTTTCCGACCAGACGTGGTTGCGTATTTATACATCCCATACAGCAAACAGACGCTTCTCGTGAGAATGTGTTCCTGATTGCAAATGAAACAACTATCCATCAAAGGACAAAAACATTCGTAGTAAAGTCCTACATATCACCATAACGCCTTGTTAAAATGTTCAAAGACACTATATCCCGTAAGATATGAAAGCCCCTCTTCACATGTTAAGTTTTTTTTATAAATAAACTGACGGTCCTAAGTAATCTGAACACTTATTAAAACAATGATAATATTTTAGATTTATTGATTGGTTATATCTCGCGAAATGATTTCATCTCTACGTGTAATATTTGAGAACATATCTCGAAAGTTTGTGATCTTTATATTAATATATAGCATAGCCAATACTTATAGACTGCCTATTAGGATTTTCAAAGTAAACAAAGTCGGTGTTTGCTTAGATGCTGGAAATTTTAGCAACCACGTGGTCTATTATGGTGCGAAATCTTTAACAATGTGACACAACTTCATAAAAACTATATTCAAATACAACGTTTAGAGTTTTGAAAAATAAATTATTTTGTTTAAATGAAGTAATCATTGGTGATACATAAAAAGAGTGTGATAAAGACATTACGACAGATTTCATGTACCGTCATTGACAACAGACGACAGTTTTCATGTACCATCAATGACACCAGACGACAGCTTCCATGTACAATCATTGACACCAGACGACAGTTTTTATGTACCGTCAATGACACCAGACGAAAGTTTTCATGTACCGGCATTGACACCAGACGACAGTTTTCATGTACCGTAAATGACACCAGTATTGACATGAAAAGTTATATAAAGATCAATATAAGACCTAAAAGAGAATGCAATGCTGTGATAGAAATAAAAAAAGCTTTTGTAAGATGATTCAGACAAATAAATTGGAGAGATCTTTTAGTATTTATTAAATCTAAATTACAAAATCAGACAATCCCAAAAGTAAGATTTTGATGTTCTTTTATCAGCAAATAGCAAAACCAAGATCAAAGAAATTTACTTTATTGCTTACTGTAAAAAGGCCATTTATACGAGACAGTAATAATATATTTAACAAATGGTTAGATATCTGCAAACAAAGTTTGATACCCAAGTTCATTTACCGACCTATCTGTAGTCACGTTATTCTTAATGACCCCGAATGTTAATCAAACTGCCTTTGAACTTATTTATCACAATTTCCAACTGGGTCAAACTCTTTTTTTATCGAATAATAATAAAAATCTTCAGTACGGAAACGCAGTGAAACGGACTGTTTTCGCCACTTACGATGCACATCTGGATTTACCGTCACTAATGTAGCTAAGAAGTTAACCAACTGTAAATGCATGCGGAGGTATATAACCAAAAAAATAATCAGCTCCTTCTGGGGAAACTTAACCTACAGAAATTGTAACCTTTAAAAAAATTATCAGCTGAGATTTTTAAATTATACGTAATAAATCATGGTTTATGATAAAATATTGACCACTGAGAGAATGATACCGTCAGGGACTAACTATAAAAAATTAATGATATATATTCCGTCGTAGTCATTTACACATAACTAAGTCAATATGGGAAAGATCCATTACTGAACCCTTCTGCCGAATTGAATAACGAACAAGGTTCACCCAACGTATTGTCTTGAAGGAGTGTGTTTATAGGGCAAAGGTTCAATTATCAAATTTCATACTCATCATGCAGCTCTCTAATGGTTATTAAAATGACAACGTGACAGAAAAGGTTCAGAAATAAGTCGGTTCTAAAAATAATTCTGAGTACTATTAAATAATTTGATATGGTATCATCAAGCCAAGCTGTGTTTTTTATCATTGTCTCTGAAATCGTGATTACTGCATCCTGTGAGTCTACTAAGTAAGATAATTGTAGGATGTTTGATTACGAAAAAAACTAGTTAAAACTGCTTCACATCTTCATGTGCTTGTCTCAAGTCCAGAACCTCTTCACTTGATGTCTGAATTTATATTGCGTATTTTTTTTTTTTGTAATTGGAAAATTAAAGTGGTGCTGATGACAGGTCTTTGATAGTTATAAATTTGTTTGATTTAAGTCTCGTTCCAATTTAGAGCTCGTCATAATTCATAGACATCTGTAATATGGCCTTTAGATTTTTTTTTTATATATCGAAGGGTCGCTTATTCTTTAACATTAATCTCGCACTTTCGTTTATTGATATGCTAGTTCATGAGGGTATTAATTCGCCATGAGTCAATTGTGCCTTGCCTTCGACAATACCGATAATTTGTATTTAGATAACATTAAAATAAGAATAAGTTATAATTAATGAAATGCCTGTACCAAGTCAGGAATGTGACAGTTGTTTTCCATTCGTTTGATGTGTTTGAGCTGTTGATTTTGCCATTTGATAAGGGACTTTTCATTTAGAATTTTCCTTGGAGTTCGGTCTTTTTGTTATTTTACTTTCTCTATTGACTGATTGTGTAATTTGTACTAGAAAAAAGGTTCAACCTTCTTTGAGCAAAGTTATTTTCAGATCAGTTCATGCAGTCATTCAATTTTCTGAGCCTTCTGATTACATATAACTTCCTATGCATGTGCATTGTTATGCTTTGATCCTGTCCAATCTGATCAAAGTGAATCCAGTAATTGCAATAGAAATTGGTTTACATGCAAATCATTACTTTGAAGAATTCCTTCAACCATTTATTTGCCTACCTTGGTCTAAGCGCCTTGTATAAGAGTTTAGAAATACATACATTTTAAGTAAGAAACAAACTTCCACTGTAAAAACAGTGTTTAGATTCTAAACACAAATCTAAACACTTTTTCTGTGTACGTTTTGAAACACGTTTAGCATCTAAACATGTTTAGATTTTAACAAGTGTTTAGATTCCAACAAGTGTTTAGATGTCAGATGTTTAGACCTTCTGTTAGGCTACTAGTACTATGATTTTACAGGAACTACTAGTGGTACAGCACTACAGATTGGATACTAATAGTGCATTGTATAATATTGTAGAATATACAATTCAAGTGTACAAATCTGCTTAAATGTCCTTGTAATTATTTTTACCATCATTTGTCCTCGTCAATACAAAATACTAAAGCTAGAAAACTGCGGTAATGATATTAATAACAATAATAATAGGGTTACACATTTTTAATTTTTATTCTTCCTGGAGGCCTAAGAAAAGTCTGTAAACCATAAGACCAAGTTTAACCCACCATTATTTTTAAAGGAAAATGCCTGTACGAAGTCAGGAATATAACAGGTTTGCTTCCATTTGTTCTGTTGGTTTATGTAGTCAAGTGTTTGATTTTGTCAGGTTTTATGGACCTTTACCTTTTTAAATACAATATGGAGGTTGGATCTTTTATTTTGTTTTTTTATTCCAGACTTGAGGATAACATACAATCTATTCAAATTATTTCAATATTTTATTTAAAAGTCTCACTTAAAGCAAACAAAAAATACAATTATAAATCTTGATATAATCTGTACAGATTTATGAGAAACAATAACAAGTTTACATTATTTTCCCTTGAAAAATTATAACATTTTCATCACCAATTTCATAAGTGTTAATAGATTTAATAAAGAGAATTTGCCATATATAGTCATTAACAGGAAAATGTAAAATCACATGAATTTTATCCTCAACAAAACAGAAATAGTCAGTCCATCTCCTATCATACAGGAATTGTTCATTACGGAACTATCTTCTTTTGAATGATAAAGGCTCTTGGTTGTCAGGTGAACATTTGTAAACTGAAACGAAAAAATGAAACCTTCAAGTACATGTACATTTGTAGTGCAACAGTCACTTATTCTTATATTAAAATACATTAAACAAAGGTTCTCAAAAGATTCTTGCAAAAGAAAAATACAAATTGTAGTTAAAAAGACAAAACTTTAAACCATGTACACATGATAGACAAATAAATCAAAGGGAACAATATAGCATGTAAGTTTTTTTTATATTTTTAAAACAAAATCCTCGATTTCTGAGAGCTACAGTCTTTTCTCTTATTTGTAATATATTTTTTTTAGAATTACCAATTTTTCTATTTTCAACAGGATATATACTAGAGTATGAATTAACCTTCATTTTTCAATCATATTACAATGTATTATAGTTCTATTGGCTACTTAATAATATACTTATATATTTTTACTTACATCTGCTTTTGAAATTAAGTCATCCTTTTCTTTCTTCATTGTTTTATATCTGATCTTTTCTTCGATTTGATCTATATTCTAGGGATTTCATTCCCACTACTGTGTCACAGTCCTATAAATACATACAAACAAATTATTAAATTTATTTAAAGGTTTAAATAAAATATATTAATAACTTGTCGGTTAATTTTTGACTTACGAGTTTGAATGATCCTTTGGTATTGTCAGTTTATTTTCAACTTATGATTTTGAATGTTCTTTTGGTATTCTTAGTTTCTCTTTAACAAATGTAGTGTAACTATAATTTCAGTGTTTATATGTGTAAAAGATGTTGCACTATGGGCCATTGGGATCTTATTTCTTGCAAAGTTAAAATACATGAAACTATGATTTTATGTACAGGGACGAATACTGTTACCTATACAGAATGTAAATAAAAACTCAATGATGTTTCACAAACAAAACCAAAGATTCATACATTAATAAAATGTGTGCATAGACATGATGGACTGACTGTTTCTTCTGAAAATTCAGTGAACTACAACGGTACTACTATAGTCCAATTAATTATGACGTCTTGAAAGGCTATTTTATTTTTTTGCTTTGAAGTCTTACAGCGACGTCACAAAGCATTCTTAATAGCACGAAAACCCATGAGACGAGGATACAAGACCCCCCCCCCCCCCCCGAATTAAATGTTTGCTCCTATCAACAATATCAGAGTCGGAACAATGAGGGGAAGGGGGTCTGGACACCTTAAAGAGATACATATAGGTTAACAGTTTAATGCACATATTCCTAACTAAGCCTGTTTTGTGCCCCACCCCCCTTTTTACGAAATCTGGATTTGCTTACCTTCTGCTACTGTAATAATTGTTAAGCTGGCTTTTGATTCCGTCAATATTCTAATAAGATGTTCTGTATCTGTTGCATCGTCCATAGATATATTTGCTTGGTTGATGGGATCCATTGTTTTAAATTTTGTTTGTCTTTGGCGGGTCTGAAGGCGTCTGTATCAAATTACCAAGAAAGATAACTCTGTTCGTTTAATAAAATCAGATCATAGTCGGACAACGACTCCGGAAATTAGAGAAAATATTCACTCATATCTTCCTTATAAATACTATCAAGATTCAGTAAAAAAAAGTAATTGCTTATATTAACATACAGAAATTTTAATTGATAGCAAATCTATAATCTTACAACACAAAAAAGGGCCGCGGAACTCAGTTGGGGAAGATGATATGAATTGTTCTCATAAGTAGCTCATACCAGGAACATATATATATTGACTCATACTTGGGACTGATTTGTAAATATAATTATCTGTTCCATAATTTTCATTTCAATAAAACCGAGATAGTGTCACAGAATACGTTGGAAAATAAAGGAACATCGAGTAAAAAGGTGAAATCAGTAATGAAGTGGTATAATGTGTTTAGGTGTTTAAGAAAGTGTTTCAGAAGTGTTTAGATGCTACTTAATGTTTAGCTTACTGATAACATTCACAGATAATAAAACTGCAACACGTTTAAATTCTAAACATGTTTAGGTTTCAATGTGTTTACGTGAATATCCGTTTAGATCCTAAACGCTTTCCTAAACACGTTTAGATCTAAACATGTTGTAGATGTGTTTCAATTCTAAACGCCGTTCTAACAACTTTAATGAATAAAAGAATAGTCCTGCCATGCAGTTTCCGACTTCCATTGGTCTTAAATACAACTATTCATAAAAAAAGCCGACTGTTACCTCACATATTTATATCCGACCATGTGAGACCCTCATATGTAGTCAATGTCGTTAAACACCCCTTAGTAGCGTATTTACGCATCCTTTGTTTTCAAATGTTGAGGACTGAGCTTAAATCAAGAAAACCGCATCGGACGCACGAAATTTGTATAAAGTGTTAATTACATTATACATGTTGTAATGAAACTACTTGTCAATGTATGTTAGATAATTGTCATTAGACGTTTCGCAAATTAATCAATGTTTGAAGGAAACTTTCATCATGTTGATTATTATTATTATGGGATGTGATCCTGTGTTTTTCTTTGAACTGAAATGTCAGCTTGAAGGGATTGTATTTTATATAATACGGAATCAAAACATTATGCTCTACGAATTTTCTGAATGGGAATAAGGTGAAAATTTTAAAGGATAACAATGGATCAAATCAAGCTTAGCAATGTAAAGGAAATTAGTTATTAATTGTGGTCTACTTTTATTTCAAATTAGTTAAATTTTCCCGCCACCCTTTTGAAGTTTCAATACGCTTGTTGAACTTTATGCTTTTATTAAATCGTTTATTGAAAGGAAAATGATTTGAGATTGATGACAATTAATTTCTAGTTGAAATAATTTGACATTTTGCCAGTTTATAAAATTAATTACATGGGAGTGGTATAATTTCCTGAAATGCACAATAATTTGAATTTCTTTCAGAACTTCTTCGTTCATTCATAAAAAAAATGATTTTTTATCATTCATATTCTTGGTACAGTATTAAATAATTATATGAAATATGATTGTTCGACTATAAGATCTGTCTATGTAAGATTATCGTTATAATATAATATATTTTCATGCGTAGTTAATATACAATTGAAACAGTAAAAATAAAAACCCGATATTATGTCATTAACAAGTATGTGTGTCATATTTCTAAGATTTATCAAATTTAGAGTATACGTGTATGTAACGTCACAAGCTAGACAATATTTCTAAAATTAGCAGTTTCAGAATATGAAAACACTAAGGTATTAATTTCATTGTTTTTTTTCTAAATATAAATAACGTATCTTCATTGGCTGATTTTCCATTTGATAATTACGTTGTTAACCAATAAAGATATCCAGAATATTTTGTTCTAAAATATCGAACTGACAAGGTATGTGTTAAAACAGGTACAACATAATCAACAGGCTTTTTCACGTTAGTAAATTATCAAATACTACCAAATTTTGGAAAAACTTTAAATAATTTCATATGTTGAAAAAGGTCCGTTTAATAGATTGGGCAGAATCTATATTGCTCAGAATTGTCCTCTCCGAAAAAAATAAGTGTTTTATTTGTATATGCCGAATTGGTCATACTAGAATAACACACAAAAAATCAATCTGTATAAGAATTAAGGATACAACCGAAACTAGATGGTTTGCTTCATATTTGGATCTCTCACTTGATATTGACACAGATGATCTTGGACGAGCGTGACACTTTTCCATTTTATATCTCAGTAGTAACACACCATAAACTCCATTGTATGACGCTTACACATCTCAATTGATACATAGCAGTGGTGTGTTCTAGACGCAGAAACTTTACCAGCAGGTATTGGAATACCCATATTATCATTTATCTTACCTCCTATACATTTCTAGGAATATGATTGGTTAAAAGCGTCCGCGTGGAATCCGTGTATATGCCATATTAGGTTAGTAGGGAGGCGGGGCTTATTTCATACACGGTTAGTAGTGGTGTTATGTCCCTTTATAAAAACAAAACGGTACTGAGAAAAAATCTTTAAGGTTTCAACAGACGAAGAAATTGATGATGAAGATTGAAATAAATTCATAAAACACATTTAAACCTAACAAGCTGTTATTGTTGGCATCTGTTTTTGTAGGATCAATGGAAGAAGTTTCTTAATTTTAACGGCATTGAAGACTTGCTCATTTTGATAGGTCACTAGTCTAATTTTCACACGTTAAGATAGTCGGTAAGATAAATTCGTTACATAGTGTGCTAGTGACCTAATACGGTATATATGGGGGGTCAGTAAATTCCATATGGGGATTCGAGCTGTGCTCTCACCCCATATGGAATTTACTGACCCCATATATACCGTATTAGGTCACTAGCACACTTTCGCTCTCACCCCATATGGAATTTACTGACCCCATATATACCGTATTAGGTCACTAGCACACCACTATGTTACTAATAATGTTTGTGTCTCAATTCAAAGAGGACATTCTTTTTTGGTCTTAGATCTTCATATACCAGGATAGTCGCCCGATCAGTTCTTTTACATGTTGTCTCCATTTCCCTAATTTGACATTTTGACATAAAGTCAATTCGCTTACAAAACAGGAGATGCTTACGCTGTGAATGTATCCGGTCTCGTACGTTTGGATTTCATGCGATTTTCACAGGTTTTATTATTTTTTTTATCTTGATTTGCATATTCTTAATATATTTGAACATCGGTGAAGTACTTTAGCCTCTAACTCTTATGTTTTCAATCGCAAGTAGATTAGATAAAATTGAGAATGGAAATGGGGAATGTGTCAAAGAGACAACAACCCGACCATAGAGCAGACAACAGCCGAAGGCCACCAATGGGTCTTCAATGCAGCGTAGAACATGTTTTAATTAAATGTATTAAATTTGTACGCAGATGATATTACATGTATATAGTTGATCTATATGGTAATGCGCCAATAGTTTTATTTTAAAAGTTGTCTGGAAAATTATCCAAAATCTAAATATTTGATGTCGATATGCATTGTTTTATTAGTTATTGAGAAGTCTAGTGTTAAATTACAGTTGTACATAAGTAATTTCATCTTAAAACGCCTGATTTTATATTTTAAAGAATCCTTTGTCTGAATTTAAAAGACTGTTTTGTTATAACTTATATACGGTCTCGTCGTTATATATGTAGTCTTTTACGTTGAGGCGGTCTAAATCAAACATCAATAATCATTACCATCATATTATTATTATTGTATTACATCCATGGTATCTTCATGCTATTTTATACAAGTTTATAATTTATAATATATATTTATCTAAAATTCCCCATTCATGAATTAAGAAAAAGAGAGGCGAAAGATACCAGAGGGACATTCAAACTCATAAGTCGAAAATAAACTGACAACGCCATGGCTAAAAAAGAAAATGACCAACAGACAAACAATAGTACACAATACACAACATAGAAAACTAAAGACTGAGCAACACGAACCCCACCAAAAACTGGGGGTAATATCTGAAGAAATGTTCACTTTAGATGCATTTGTCTATTCTGTTTAGGTCCTTTTTGATCATACAGATCCTAACGTTGCAGCTTATTAACGAACCACTCGCTTTCAGATGTTTAGGTTTGACGGTTCTTAATGATAGTAAATCCAGAAAAGCAGTTCAAACGCACGATATTTATAAAATGTTTATTTCATTAATGGATTATTTGCGTCGGCATTCAAAATTGAACAAGCGTACAATTTTATATTTCTCCTGTTGGGAAAGACATTAAGCATTTCAAGTCAATATATTTCCGCATTATAATGAATTTTTAAGAGGAACAAGATAATTTAACTCTTTTTGGTAAAATAAACAAATATAAATGAGTTTGACTGTAAAATGTGTGCGGTATCTAAATTCTGCAGACTAATTGTCCAATAGGGAATCGTGTTTTGATTTCCAATCTTCCCACAAATCATTTAAACCTGATTTAATCGTAAGACGGATGAAATATAACATGCAAGTTGTTTGATTGTAAATAGTTGATGTCGTCACATGTCAGAGTACTGCTTTGTGTTGAGTTATGTACTATCAATAAAAGACTGAACTAGCTTTGCAGAAAATATTGTGTGGGCATTAAATATTATTGCTCGATTACGTTAAGGATTTCTTTAAGAAAGATTTTAACACGATAAGTTTCACGATGAATACGTTTTATAATTGACTTAATAATTCAAGTTTGAAGATTTCCAACTTATTCGAAATGCATTTCAATGAATTGTCGGCGTCGATTTACGTGCTCAGAATGTTTTAAAATTTATAATCAAAATTGTCATGTTAATAAAAAAAAACTCGGTAAAAGTTGGATAACACATTTTTTAAAAGCACTTTGCTTTAAAGGCAATTGGATAAAAGCAGAAGGCGTCAGAGTACTGTAAACCACTGAACTTATTTTCGCGGATACTTTATTTCGCAACAGATGTATCTGCCCTGAAATTGGAGAAAAATCTAACCACTAACTCTTACAGTTATTGCTCCAGAAATACCAAACTGTTTTTCCAATTTTTGATTTTTTTTTTTGCTGTTATTTTGAAAAATATAGGAGTTAGGTTAAAAGTGCAACTTTTAGTGTAACTTAGGTCCTTTTTGGTTATAAAGCTCTTCAACGGTTTCGGTTCTTATACATACTTGACTTACAAATATTCGGGTTTGAGCGTTCGTGATGAAGGTAAATCCAGAAAAGCGATTAGGATGCATGCATTTTATATATGTTGTTTTCATATCTTCAAAAATGATCGCGAGATATTACCGGTTTCAGAAGAATCTGTTTAGCTATTATGGAGTTAATGTCCCTATATAACTTTTTTTTTTTTTTTTTTTTTTTAGATTTTTGCAATTTTTTGCTGTTATCTTGAAAACTAGGTATGTGCTAGGTTGAAAATGTAAAATTCAAAAAAGATCACCAACACAAGATTATCTATTCTGAAAATTTGAAAACCTGATTTGGAGTTGTTGCCCCTGATTTGTAGATCTTTATAACGTTTTGTGAAATTTTATCTGTTGTCGTAAACACTCTATGAGCTAGGTTAAAAATAGTAAGTGCAATACTGATCAGCAACACAAAGAATAACTAATACGTGTATATCAAGGTCCTCATTGGCAGACCGGCACTTTTTTTATCGGGCGGGCAATACGTACAGTCGTGCCTTTTGTTTTTAATATACATATTACATCCATTGATTTGTTTTGAGGAATTTTAACTACTTAACATATTTCGGTTGGATGCATGATTTTTTTTTTTTCAGTAACTGCGAATACTCTTAGATCTGTACATAAGTACCCGTCCATTCTGTGTTTTTGTTAGATGTATTTCTATTTGTATCCATCTGATGAGTTGTGCCTTTTTCAACTGATTATTATAGTTTGTTCTTATGCTGTACTGTTACACCACTGTCCCAGGTTAGGGGAGGGTTGGCGCTTTCAAACGAGTTTAACCCCACCACATTCTGTATGTGCCTGTTCCAAGTCAGGAGCCTGTAATTCAATGGTTGTCGTTTGTTGCGGTGTAACATATTTGTTTTTCGTTCATTATTTTGTACATATATTAGGCCGTTTGTTTTCTCGTTTGAATTGTTTTACATTTGTCGATTCGGGCCTTTTATAGCTGACTATGCGGTATGGGCTTTGCTCATAGTTGAAGACCGTACGGTGATCTATAGTTGTTAATTTCTGAGTCATTTGGTCTCTTGTGGAGAGCTGTCTCATTGGCAATCATACCACATCTACTTATTTTTATACATAACGTAATTGATTATAAGCGGAATATCTAAATTTATTTCAGCACAGATATCTTCACATTTCCGTGAGACTACCTTTTCATTCAGACATTTATGTAATAATAATAATATAATAATAATAATAATAATAAATTCTTTATTTAAAGAGGGTAACTCAATAAGAAGTAGTCTAATTTTCATTCAGGCCCTCAAACAAAATACATGTATACAGTTAACATTCATACATTCATACATTAAAATACAATATATATTACTAGTATACAATATATATGTCGATCATTAGGTTAAGAAAGTTATCATTTTATTCTATACAAATATTTTTTGACATTATTACACATCAATGTGTTGATAATGGAACTATGAAGTATTTGAAGAAACATAATTCAAAGCGTCAGCTCTGGAATAACCTCATCGGGTACGAACAATACTTAAATTTTGACAAGCATAATAAAATGTTCCTTGGGAGAATAAAACAGAAAAAAAGCCGAAACAGAACAGCCACCTTTGTCTGAGAGAGTTCCTAAAACTATAAATTCAAATAACAATGCATATTTAAAATCAGACCACTACCATACCAATTTCAATATCGAAGCAATTACGCATCTGATTTGTTATTAGTCTACAAAGTCTGCATGTCATGCAGAGACAGTAAGTTTCATGTTTTAGTGTTTACATCAATTGTTTGACGTTGTAACTATGTGGTACCTCATTGTTAATCTCTATCTTATGCTTATCTAATTGCTATTTTCATAGGAATTATTTCAATTAATAATGTAATATTTCTTCAAATTTCAGTCAGTTCACTTGTTGCCAGCATTCTGTCATTGACATTAATAGCATGCGACAGATTTTTTGGAGTAGTGTTTGCCATGAAGGCACATATTATTGAGAGAAAAGCTCGACATAGTATCATTCTCGTATGGCTTTTCGCGTTCGCCTTTGCTTCGCCACTTCTGGTCTTCAGAACATTGCATCAAAGACAGTGGAAAAACCATTTGGAACAATGGTGTGATGACGAATGGCCTTTAGTTTTCAAACATATGAAATATGGTCAACCGGTTTACCATCAACCAGCAAGGAAAATCTATTGGACAACTTTATCAGTGGTTTTATTTTTAATACCAATTCTAGTTATGGCCTGTGCGTACACAAGAATCATTAAGACTTTATGGGCAGCAAAGACTCCAGGAGAAAGAGTGCCAAAAGATATCACAGTTCAAACGAGAATGAAAAGAAAGGTAAATATAAAATTCTAGTATTGTTCCAAACTGTCATTGTTGTTCAGTTCAGTTTAGGATATTGTTATAGTTCGGCCTTGAGCCTTATTGAAGAGACATCTATTGTCGAAATGTGCATATGGTGAAGTAAAGTGGTTACCGTTAATATTATTAATACATTTCTTGACAGTGACTTTGAATACAAGATGACTGCACATACTTCTAAAGATGTAAATTTGGGAATTCTATTATTTCAAAAATATAATCAGAGGTCATCTGTTATTAAACCATTTTATACAATATCTTAGGAATCATAAATTCTTGACAGTGATTTTGAATACAAGATGACTGCACATACTTCTAAAGATGTAAATTTGGGAATTCTATTATTTCAAAAATATAATCAGAGGTCATCTGCTATTAAACCATTTTATACAATATCTTAGGAATCATAAATTCATACATTTCAACCTTTCTTTTCCCTTTTATAGAATTTGGAGTTTTAGCTTTTAAAACTATTGTTTTTTCAACGCCATCAGTTATTAAACTAGGGTTTATGGCAACTATAATGACAGGGAAAATCAAGATACTATATAATAGGAGTTTGGATTAGAATAAAATCGCTATGTTTGATTAGTGGGTGACTTATAAGTTCACTGCAGGGGTGATATTTACTCGGTCTAAGTTGAAATTGATTCTTTGTCAGTTTCATTAATAATTTCTTATCTGAACGTGTAAATTCATTAGATATGCTGGCATGTTGTCATTAATGATCTTCTGTATCCGATGTTTGATTTACATCTAAATTTTAACAGTGAAAAGCAATATCCAGATAAAACCATAAACGACTTTTTATTTCGATTAAATGCTTTAAATTGTTTCGCCTTTTCATGCATTTTGTTTACATAATAGTTTCATATTTTCCTATGATTATTACTGATAAAGTTATTGTTAAAACCTATTAGTATGCGATATTGTTCATCAACATCTATTCTTTCTGCAAATGTATTATATGTGAAGGCAAGTTATTCTTATGATTAATGAATCAGATTTGTAATCACTCCTTAGAGGAATACATAATAAAATTTAGAATGGTATCTTACGCATAAAATGTTTTGACTAATGCAAGGATTTTTTCTGTATTATCAAAGTTATTCAAATTATTGATTTGTCAGTACAATTTAATAAATTTTGATCATACACAATAGTTATAAAATATCATGAAACGTGTCTTCTTAAAGTATTCTCGGAGTCAAGAGATAAGTACAAAAAGTGAAATAACAAAAATACCGAACTAGTGTGGTCAGCAAAACCCGTATGCAGTTACCTATTAATTATATGTTCACTAACATATACAACATATACAAATGTATCTGAAGTACAAAAGATCACACGACAAATTGTTGTACGAAAGGAGAAATGTTGAAGATTTGAAAATATTTTCAGCCATGTTTACCCCTTTGCAAGGTTCAAACTTACTCAAGCAAAATTTACCTTAGACGAATTTTTCTGTGCTTTTCGGTCTCATTTGGTCATTTAGCTCCTAACAGTTTACGTATTTGTACATCTATTGCTTTGAAAAAAAAAGTTAACGTTTGAGCGTTCTCGTGAAGGTTATGGAGAGTACTTTTCATTATATGATATAAGGGAGCTGCCATTTGATTTTTATGGGGGGGGGGGGGGGGGGGGGGGGGGGGGGCTAGGATGAAATTTGAAAAAAAATAGGCAGGACAGGAGTTTTGAGTAAAAAAAAAATGCAGGATGAGACACTTGCAAAAAAAAAGGCAGAATGACAATTTATGTAAAAAAAAAGGCAGAATGACAAATTATGTAAAAAAAGGTCAGGATAAACCAAAAAAAAAAAAGGCAGGACCGAATACAGTGAAAAATAAAAAGACAGGACAGAGATTACAACTAAAAAAAAAAATGGAGGACAAAATTAAAAATCAAATGACAGCTCCCTAAACCAAAAGGAACAACCATATACATTTGATCTCTCCATGAATTAATTTTACAAGTGAAAAAAGTTCCACAGATATAATGTCATGACCATGAAATCAATTCCTAACCTAATACCGTTGTCTTTGTCGATATGTAGGAGACAATGAATAACCTTTGAATAGAATTAAACTTCTAGAAATTTCAAATATAACAAAGAACTATTCAATAGATCGGGTTTATGTTCGTAGATCGTCATTCACATAAAAGTCACAAAACAAAGCGATTTACCGCTACTAAAACATATGTACTAATAACTCTTTGTTATCTTTTATTTGAATGAAATCTCTTATTTTGTGTTTTATCCGTAAAAGGAACTGTTTGTCTATACACTTTGTTGACTTTTGACATAATTATAAGATAGCGTTTCACATCAAATCGTAGTTTTAATGCACAAAACAACAATCTATAATTACATTAAGTCCGATCGAGCTATCACGGCAAAACTAATCAGTCTTAAAGGCTTTTTCAACGTACCATCTATACATCTAAATCAAAGTATAATCTTATATGTACAAATCATACACTCTTTTAAGATTGGCTATTTTATCAAACGAAATTTGACACGATGTGTTCCTCTTTGTTATTAAAATGTTGTCAATTCTCATTAATGCACTAATATTTCCCTTGGTAGTTGATGTCACTGATAGTTAAATTGATGCACAGTAATTGACAAAATTAAATATGAGAAACGACATCGTATGATAATCTTATCTTTTTTTAAAAAATATGTTTTAATCAATTTATAATTGATTGATTGATGTTTGTTGGACGCCGAAGGAACTTATATTTGATGCATATTCAGGATGAGAACAAATCAACTGGGTAAGTTTTGTAATGTTGGTCGACCTGAAAAAATGCAGGCAAATTAAAATTTAAACTTCCACTGAAAAAGGGGTTAATGCAAGTAGAACGGTGGCAGATATTTTGCATTGCAACAAATCGAATAGGCAAGTTCTACACTGTTGTTCAACCATGAAAAGGTGTAATTTTTATTTTCAATGATAAAGAGTATTAATGTAAGTTGAACTAGGTGATGGGAGGGGACATAAATTTATCCTTGCAACAACCCACACGTTCCATCGTGTTAACACATCAATTTAAGGGACGTGACTGCGTGTTTATACATCCCGCTCAGCCAAATATCACAAAATTTAGTTTACTTTCATGTGGAGTAATTTAAGGCGGCCGTTTTTCGTTACCACAATCAACTCTTAGTGTATTAAAGTACCATTAAAGTACATTCACTGATGACTGCTATATCGTGGTAAATGAACAAAAGTATCGGCCTTATAGCTTTATTTTTGATAAACTGGATATTACTTTTTACGTTATCAATATTTAAATTTTAATTATAATTATTCTTGAGAATCGGTATCTATGATCAAGGAAGAAGACCCATCTTGTTATTGAATATATTTATTGCAGCTGCGTTTCAGCATGCCTCTTTCATACAATATGTTTGTTTAAAATATCAAACCTTTGAAATTTAAGACTATCTTAATGTCAGTAGTAATATCATTTTGGTCCCTTATAGATTAGAAATTGTTATTGACTTGTTTTTGTCATGTTTTCTGTTCTAAAATTCACATTAAGGTCACGGACGGTTGGACAAACGGTGAAGTGTAGGGAAAACATAACGAGTAGCAACATATTAAATCTTTGAATTTTATTGTTTTTAATTAAACAGTGGTAGATAACTACTTTCACATTCTTAAAAACTATATTTACTTCCGGTCTTAATGTACATGATGGAAGGGAGTAAAATGTTACTTGAGTTAATTTCATGTTTAGCTATTACAGTATTTATGCGTTGTTAAAATAATTAACAAAAACGTTACTGGTTGTAATGCAATATATATTATATCAAAATGTTTATATCATTTAGAGACCTTATTGTTAAAAAGTAGATCTTTTATGTCCTGTTCAATTTATTTAAAAAAAAAAAAAACTCTTTTTATCACCCACCAATCATTCTGGCGGGAAGATGTTACGTTGATGTCTAAAAAAGCCAAAATCAAGTCAACACTCATTATTACGACGGCGTAGGATTGTTATGAAAAAAAAAACCGATTCAGTGCACATAAATAAAATAGAAAAAAATGTAAAAAATTAAATACAAGAACACCGAACAATAAGTAAAAAAATTATAAAAATTGTAAATAATACATAAATAAGATAGCAACAGCTGCATATTTTCTTCGGTCTAGACTTTTATTGCATGGACAGCTAAGGGATTAAGTAATTTTGAATTGTTTTATTGTAAAATGTCTGATGCAACATAACATAAACAAATCATTTACAAAACCATTTTGATTTTCTTATTTCAAGTTGCCGTTTGAAATAATGGCGTATGAGTTAGAGTTAGAAATTCTGGATTAAGACAAAACAAAAGTGATACATATGCATACTAGTTTTCAAAGACTCGGACTCATATGGCCAATAAAAAGATGGTTCTCGTTAGAGTCAAAAACTCAAGATTGATTAGGTCACTTGAGTAGGTAATTGATTGACATAAAATTATATCAACAACCGTTTATAGCAATATTTTGAACTGGTAACCATTGTATTTTAGCCTTATTCCTAAACATATAACCATTCAATGCGATCCATGGTAACAGTTATCTGTCACGATTTTCAAGCCGGGTTAACATTAATTTTATTGAATCTGTGTCCATGAACTGCAAATACATAAGACCTAATCTAATTGTTCCTATTCCAACAAGGATAGGTTTCCGTAATGTCTGGCTTTGCTGAATGACGATTAACCCATAAAGTTGATATGTGAATTTGATAGAAAATGTAAGTGTTTCTAAATTTAATTTTGACAAGTGAATTATGTTCTCTGTTCGCCGTTAATGTTATTCTCATTACAACTAAACTGTTCGATATCTAAAGTACCCAGTAAATGGATTAAAGTATACTTCAGATTTTTCCGTTTGACGTTCCTTAGTTAAACAAAACTTTAATAGATAGATTAGATGAACAAAACTATTAGTATGTATTACAATACAGCATCAGCTTACAATGTACGTATATCGTAAAATGCATATTATATAAAAAAAGAAGATGTGGTATGATTGCCAATGAGACAACTCTTCACAAGAGACCAAATTAACAACTATAGGTCACCGCACGGCCTTCAACAATGAGCAAAGCCCATACTATAACCTTTGTAAAATGTTAACATATAGAGTCAATATAAGAACAACACTAAAAGAAAGTCAACATTTTTTGTCAAATGCAAAGGGTTTTTGCCTACGTCTATTTTTCTCTTATTTTGTAACGTACTATCAGACTTTTATCGCAAGTAGTCTAACAGCGTGAAATAAGTAAGAATTGTTTTGGGATAAAGTTGCCTAGTTTTGAATTGTTTATTGGAAATTTTGATTTACTCGTGGTTTCTAAAGAACGACAGCAGACACAATATGTGTCTGTCTGTCAAACTACCTGACATTTGAATGAAAATATAGCTTAGTGCCGTCATATTTGCATGACTACATGTTATATATACTTTAACCTTTAGCCTTTTACCATGAAACCCTGATGCAATTATGTATATACATGTAACACTGCTATACCGTTTTTGCATAACATGGGTTCAACGTTATAAAAAGATATTGACAGTATTTTGGGGACTTATCTGGTAAAGGTATATCTGATGTTCTCATTTGCTGCTTTGCATCAAGGTTTCAAGGAGGAACATACTTACATTTCAGGTTAATGTATGTAAAAGTATGAGTAAAAACCATAACAGGGTATTTAAAGATATACTTGTATCACCTGGTTAATGAAGTTTGGGGTTAAAACATCATTAATTGCTCAACAAATCTTGTACCTACAAATTAACAACATGACTCATTTTGAAATAAACGTTGGCAGCAGATTCCCAGAAACCAAACTAAAAGAAACGAATTAGAGCAAACTCATGGAAAATATCTTGTGTGGTTTTCGGAGGCGTTTTGTAATGTTATTTTTTATAACTTTTAACACTCACTCAAATCTATAAAACTTACATTGACTCCGATGGCCATAACTGAAAAGAATTTTCTTATGCCAGCACCTTTTATGTTACATTACATGTTCACCGCGGCCCATCTTTATAACTTTTGCACATGAACGATAACTTTTCGTATGCGTTGAATAGGGTATCGCAAGAGACCAACCTATGCATGTTGTAAAGTAATTTTTATAGAGTTTAATAATAATGTAGGTTTCGATTAACACGAAAACTGATACGATATTTAAGACATAATAAGTTAAACATGATTATTGATAAACTATTTTAGATATAACCAAAATGCAAGTGTTGTCAAGTTTAGCATATTCCCACTCGTAATTCATGACATAGGTTGTCTTACAGATCCGAAGAGTTGTCTTGCACATCCAAAGAGTGCTCATACGTTTCATGTCATCATTGTTGAGCTGCTAACTTAATATGAAGTTATTATGCTCAATTATTATTAAGACACGCGAGAGGAAAATTTTACATCACACGTTACGACTCACCTCTGTTAAGCTGCTGTCCAAATATAAAGTCGTTCTGTTCAGTGGTTTCTTAGAAAAGTGCGACGAAAATATGTGTTTGGCAAGGTGATAGTAGTATAGCTCCACTTTAAGAGTAGTAGAGTGGGGATATATCATATAGTATTTGGACCGTACGCGTATGGTCATTCCCATATGGGTTATACTCATATGGTCTGACCATATGAGTATATACTCGTTTGGTTTCTAACGGGCCGGACCATATGAGTATTTAGACCATATAGGTATTTTTCGAATAAATTAAAACTTTCTTAACGAACACAGCTCGTCCTCTGAAACTAAAGTTGGCACAAGTTATTAACTGAAATCCTTTATCTTTATTGTCTGAATCTTGGTATATTTTTTGTCTTGCCTTCGCTAACTAGAGTCAATTTTAAGCATCTTTATCCTGTCGATAGTTTCGTTCGTACGTGAAACCACAGGTGTTTGGGGCATGGACATTTTGTTCTTGTCCCCGGCGTTAAGTTTAATTTTTACTCAATTTCTTCTAATTGCCACATATTTTCACTTAACTGATGTTTTCATTCTCTTATTCATACGAGTGGTTTCTACATAAGAATAGAGCGACAGCACGTATACACTTCTGTAATTGTAAAATCGTATAAAGAAGGAGCAAAACAAATTGAATATCTGAAAATAATTTGAATTTTTTAAGAAATCTTAATTTACAAATTGAAATACTAAAGTTAAAGAAAATAGGAGGTTCAATGCTCCAATTGCTAATGTGTAAAACAACTGACTTTATTTAGTTATTTTCGGAGTCGACATATTGTGTTTCGTAAAGACAAATTAATAATGACCATGCAAAAATGCTTCTACTATAATTCTAACTTGTGAGTAAAATCATTTTATTTCATTAATCGCGTTACAATGATTACGAAATTATTATCTAAGTCAAAATTTCATTTTTAGAAACTCTTAATCCCTCACACCTTGAAGGGTTATGCCTTCATGCCTTTACTGTTCAACGTTCGTCGTAATACTTACCCTGACCATATGAGTATATACGCGTGTAGTCCAAATACTCATATGGTCCGGAACATATCTGTAGGAAAACATAGAATTTATTTGTACGAGCTTTGGAAAGAGATATTTTCTCTTGTTTCGTAGCGATTACAAACAATTTTATATTTTCCTACAATGTACGAATTAATTGTTTTATTCTGCAATTTAACACATTTACGCTTAAGCGCTAGGGTATAGTTTTTTTTACATTCCAACCGTTGAATTTGTTTTCAATGAAATCAACGATTTAAACGCGGACCGCAATGAGGAACCGAAACTGAACTGTGACGTAAATAGCAATTTGAATATAACCAGTCGCTCACAATAGAAGTGCGATACCAGGAGACTCTAAACGTATGCTAACGTGTATCGCTTCATGTTATCTGTCACGTTTTATTTTTATAGTTTAAGGTCGATTGCAAGATAAAATGAATAAAGCATGATTACTAATATAATATTTTAGATATCATAAAAGTTGAGCATTATTATTGATAAAATATTTCAGATATAATTATTTAAGCATGATAACTGATAAAATATTTTAAACATGACTAGTTTAGCATGATAACTAATAAAATTTTTAGATATGCATATATAATAGATATAAGAAGATGTGGTACATTGTATGAGTGCCAATGAGACAACTATCCATCCAAGTCAAAATTTATAAAAGTAAACCATTATAGGTCAAAGTACGGTCTTCAACACGGAGCCTTGGCTCACACCGAACAGCAAGCTATAAAGGGCCCCAAAAATTATATATAAGGCTGTAATGAGATGATATTAACCCACATCTATGTTTTTTAATGCGCAAATTAAGTGTGATCGACATCAACCAAAGATTTCTCACAAGCAACTGATATACATTGCAGTGAGGTTCGAGCTTTTGAAACGTGTTGGAAATCCTCACTTTGAGAAGAAAAACAGTAGTACAATTTAAACAGTGATCCTGTGCAAGTTTGTTTCGTGATGTGCGTGAAGGAATATGCTTTGGTTTTTCTCTGTTATCACTAATTTTGCATCATGGCTTAATTTTATTGATGTTCTATACTTGTAGATTGTTTTAACCTTGATGCTCATCATGATTATCTTTGCGGTGTGTTGGGTGCCACTTCAATTCACCATTTTGTACTCTGAATACAAACCAGAAAAAAAGGTAACGATCATTAGATTTCACCACTCTAGATGGTATTTTTATTAAATGTGCTAGGTTTACCCTTGAACGTTTGTATGTCCGCCCGTTCATCCATATGAACGTCACAAAATTCTATTCCATTTTCTAACTTCTGTGTGCCTCCACCAAATGTTATGAAACTTGTACACAATGCTTATTACTACTAAATACAGATCAATTTCGAATTAAGATGGCGTCACTCTCACTGTTCTCAAATTATGTCGTCCATTTATAAATGAAGAAATTGCTGAATTCGAAGTAAATTCGACTCTTGTATATTTACAAGCGGGGGCAACTGTCCCGTGAACACATTTAAAAAAAAATTATGAAGAAAAGAAAGCGTTACAACAAAAAGTAAACTTAATTTATTGAATTATCATCACTGAGCTTTTATATATATATCGAAATGAAAGGGAACAAGTTATTTCAAAAATAAAAGGGAAATGTAGTACTGGCATCATTTCGACAGAGAATGTGCCTTTGTTTAGACTCCGATCTATTTTGAGTTCAACATAATGGTATTGACATTTGTCTTTTTTTTGAAGAGCGAATGTTCACCTTTAACAATATTTAGGATTTTCGTGTTGTTTGGATGCCTTTTTACAATACGTCTTCTTTTCTTCCGGAGCTTTTTTGACGTTTCACTGGTTTTTTTTTAAATATTAATTTGATAAAAGTCATAATATTAGCTAATAGTGGCCTAATAATCGCAAACTATTAAATATACTACAAGCTTCTAGTAAGTCACTTACGATCAAATTATGTAATTTTGTAAAAGCTGCATAGAATATTCGATCTTATATAGCCTCATAACTTTATATGTCATTGTATTATAATACTATTGTTCTCTGCTGTCTATTCATGTTTTATATTATGTAATATATGTTGTTAATTTTGCCATAGCATGTCTATGCTTTTGCAATAAAGATTCAAGATTAGCTGATTTTACAATTTAATATGCACACCAACTTTCTGAATGTGCCTGTCAGGAGGCTGTAATTCAGTGATTGTCGTTTGTTGCTGTATATCATATTTGTTTTTCGTTCATTATTTTGTACATAAATCAGGCCGTTAGTTTTCTCGTTTGAATAGTTTTACATTTGTCAGTTCGGGGCCTTTTATAGCTGACTATGCGGTATTGGTTTTGCTCATTGTTGAAGGCCGTACGATGACCTATAGTTGTTAATTTATGTGTCATTTGGTCTCTTGTGGAGAGTTGTCTCATTGGCAATCATACCACATCTTCTTATTTTTATATTTTCTTCAGTTAAATTTTATCTAAAAAAAAATAACAAACAAACATATACTGTTTATTGAATAGGCAAATGCATATTTAACTCCACTCAATAAATTTTACTACAATAAGTATGCTGTTGCATTTTATTATTATCCCATTGACGTTTATTATTCATTTAAACATTTAAAGCTTTATTCTATTACAGAGTTTTTTTTTCTTTATTCAATAAATATTTGGTATACAACTCATAGACGTCTAATGACCATCTAAAGCAAAAAAGTTGAAACTATCAGAAATATTGCTTGTTCATTCCGTTTGAACAGGTCCTATGCCTTGATAAAAATTGACAAGTCCCTTGTTTTTGCCTTGCTTTCTTCTCTCATAAGCTTCTTTGTCATTATATCATGTGATATTCTGTCTTATAGTTGACTAGAAATAGAAATAATGTCATACAAGGACCTTCCATCCGGGAGCAAAAAATAAATGCTAAAGAAGCTGGTCTGTTTGGTTGTAAGAGATGTAGAAATACGTATCAACGTTCGGTTAGAATGGGAATGTTAAATCAGACGCTTTATAAGCTGGTATCTTGGCGGAGTTCGTATAGGGACGTTAATAAACCAACTTATTTGAGGGTTAATTAGGTGTCCTGTTTCAAGACAAAAGCTGTGTTAATAATGTTATATAAAATGAGACGCTTACTCTGTCGACACCCCCGGTATCACTCCTTTTATGTGCTCAGTTTAACCAGCTATTTCATCAGTTGTTTCTACTCTGTTTGTATACTTTAAATTAATTTGCGTGATTTTACCATCGGAAACAACTGTTTTCTTATACAAAAATGTATTCATCTGAGCTACCACAATGCTATACTAATATGGATAGAAGAAATTTCGAGATATACGCCTAAGTCAAGACCCTGTAATTAAGTGGTTGTCATTGATTGTTGCCTGTCTTATATGTTTTTGGTTCATTGTTATTAGTATAAATCAGGTCGATGTTATTTTTTTAATTGTTTATATTTTGTAATGACATATCTTTTCATAGTTGACTATACGGTATGGGTTTTACCCTATAATTGTTTACATTTCCCCCCTTTTTGTCCCTGGTGGATAGTTGACTCATTGGCAATCATGTTATATCTTATTTATATTACTAATATGCCGATTTTCTTCAAGTCGTAATAAGACGGAGATGTATTTGAAATTACCCTAGGAGATTTTTGTATTGATAAGTATGACTTAAAACCGTGATTCTCTTACTTGTTTTAAATATAAGAAAAGACTATAGGAGCTTTCTGCATGAGATATGTGTATGAATATGTGAAAAGCTATAACAAAAAAACATTAAAGATATTAAAAAACATATTTGATATGTCAATATTAGAAAAATAATCTATAAGGAACCTAATTAATAGTTTCGTATATTTATCTGTTTTTCTATTTCCCATTTTTTGTTATAAGAAAATATACGAATCCACCCAAATGACCTCGATTTGTTTCCAATTTATATCTTTCTTACTTTATAACATTGCCATGATAAGGCTGATATTCAAAATGTCATTTAAGGATAAGAATCTTGTTTAAATGAATTGCTTCCTTATTTTTCTAAGATTTCTATATTGATACGTATGAATTATGACTGTGCTTCTCTTACTAGCTTTAAATGTAATAAAAGACTATAGGAGCTTCCTGCATGATTTATGTGTATGAATCCGTGATAAGCTATTACAAAAAACATTAAACATTAACATATTAAAAAACATATATAATATGTCAATATTAGAAAAATAATCTACAAGGAACACAATTAATGGATTCGTATATTTATACGTTTTTCTATCATTTCATTATTATGTTATAGGAAAATATATGACTCCATCAAATTGACTTCGATTTATATATTATTTTTATCTTTCTTAGTTACTTCATTACGCTGACATGAAATAGCATATGTTCATTCCTGTAACAATAACAGAAAGTGACAGAAGAATGCCATCAATATTTTAAACATTAATATAATATATGATAATTTCTTCTAACTACATGACGATTTATAAATGGGTATTGTATTGGCTTTAAAACTGAAACGTCGAATGAACACTAGTTTAACTAAACATCAAGTTAAACGAGAAACCTGAATGTTTTTATTATTTTTCATATGGAATAGTTACTCATCTACAATATTGTATCTAGACTTATCAGTAATTGTTCTTTATTTTGAAATCAAATAACATGTTGAAAAAGTTATTGTTTATTTTAGCTTGAACAATGGTATGAACAACTTAGTTTCTTTGCGCATGTTCTTGCCTTTGCCAACAGTTCAATAAATCCAATGATTTATGCCGGTTTTAACGACAACTTTAAAAAAGGTAAGATTCTGAAGAGTTTGTTCTCTGGTTGATACGGGTGTGATATTGAAAAGCCATACACTGCTCTTTATTGATTCTATTACCTTTTAATGCAAATAAAGTAGAAAATGCAGGATTTGTTGCTCGTGCTGTGTGGATGCTGTAGAATGTGTCCCCGTGCTTGTAGTGTATGCCCTTATACTTTACAGCTATGGGTATTTGCTGATGAGAGAGCTGTCTACTAATAGTTTGCATTATTACCTTTTTTTTTTTGTATTTCTTTAAATTCAAATTTATGCACATCCACTTCATTTGAACTTGGGTTGAACGTTGTCTCATTGACAATCATACCGCATCTCCTTATTTTCTATATGGGACTAATTATTTTTCTTCGGGTTCTTACTTCGTTTTTGCATTTTGCTGACAACGCCTTTTTTGTATGATGGCTCGGGATTTATTACAAGTGTGAATGTTTGCAATCTATGCAATGATAGAATTCCCTGCACCATAACTCGGTGCGTTCATATTTGGATTTTTACCAGTACCAAAAATGCTAAAGATTGGCAATGTTATTTCTTCTAAGTTCTGTTAAATTATCTTTTAGTCGAATATGCGTTATGTACTTTAGAAAAAAACAGCATGTTTTAACTGCTTAATTTTGCAAAATACAGCGGATTTGATAAGGTTTAAAGTAACACTCAGAGCGCAATATGACAAATTACATCGTTTTTGAAACATATAATTGAAATAAGGATGTAAAGGTTGTCCGAAGAGCTGTTCTTCAACCTGATAGTTACTTCAACGTGATCTATGCTAAAACGCTTTTCATCCTATAAAGAGACCAAGACGATCTCAAGGTTTATTGTAAGCGGTACCTACCAATTAGTTTTTTGGGGATAAATCAGCGACACATAAAAATGTACACAACACGGTCATTCAAACAAAATTTAAGGAAAAACTACACTATGACCAAAAGAAGAAAAACTTATAAATAGAAGTAAACGAACCCCATTCAAAACAGAGGTAAAAGATACAAATGGGACATTCAAACTCATAAGTTGAAACAAACTGACAACGCCATGGCATAAAACGAAAACGATCAAAAGACAAACAACAGTATAAAAACCTTAGCAAGAAAACTGAAAACTGAACAACACAAACCGGACTTAAAACCGGGGTGATCTCAGCTGCTGCTGAACGCTAAACATATCCTGTTTATATGTGGTCCCGTTATGTTGATTATGTAAGTACAAACCCAGTTAGACTGTTGAAGAACTTTCATGCAGTTACTGTAAATATTGTTTGTATTATATGCTGCTATAACCATGTATTCTAAGCCCATGTGCCCGAGATGCAAGTGCAAAGGTCTTTTTCCAATAAAAATAAATTTTGCTTATAACTGTGAATTATCAAATAAATAGCATATACATCATTTGGAAAGGCGACACATTTATGACGGAAACTTTTGTTGGGGAAATGTAGAACTTCCTAATGATGCTTCATGTGTCAACTCTGATTGATCACTGTCTCTGTAAGCTCGTCAAAATAAAGAAAACATGGCAGTTTCATTTATCTAAAGTTCCATAAAGAATCCGATGAAGTAACATATACAGCATGATCCCCGGATCTTAATTAAGATATATATTATGAAAGCCCAATTGACTTCAATATCTACATTGTGATATTTAGTGTCTCTCTTTGAGTAAATAGATATACATTACAGAAACAGCAGGTTATAATGTTCAAATAACAAAACTTTTCCTTTGTTTGTTGTATACATATATCTGTTTCAAATGATTTTCGTCTATCTGATTAGTTTATATAAATGAATCCAATGTCAACAACCTCAAATGAACGTAATATTAATTAGATCCAATAAAATAACGTTTATAACTGGACCAGACAGATACAAATCCATACAGTTATTTGTGCATTATCCTGACACTTACTTTCAACGTTTGTGACCAGAGTTCTTCGTGTCAACTTGGAGATATCGACTGACAGTTTTCCTTAATTCGTATGATTAAATACTGCTGCACAAAATGAGTAGTATTAAGTCTTGTTCATTTCTGTACTGAAGAAGGTTGAACTTTTTTCAATATAAATCGACATTACATTGAAAATACAATATTTCAATGGCTAATTTTTATCGTCCTCATGTTGTTTAATGTAGCCTGGAATTTCTTTTATGAATATTTGATATTTGGAATCAAATATAAAAAACATATCCTGTATAGTTCTGTTTTAATGGTCCATTAACTTCTAGTTAGTCTTCAATCTTCTAAATTCTATTTGAAATACCTAGTAACGAAAACGAACAAAATTACCAAAAAGGCAAGAACGAAACAGAAGTAAAAAAATAAAACGACACTAGTCAAAGGAATAAAACCGCAAAATGCTATCAACAAGCGACATAAAACTACACAGTAAACAAAAAATTGAACAAAACCAACTCGACAAAAAACGAGATGAACTCATGTGGTCGTGCGGATATGCAGTTATAGTGGTATTCGCCGTTTGTATGAATGTCCTTTAACAGACCATCATCTGTAGCTTTATAAAATAAAATGTAACATTCAGACGATTAGGGAAGCGAATCAATTATCAGAGATATCACACAAAGAATTTCAGAGGACATTTTAAGACAGACACAATACACAAAACAACATTGAAAACAAAACATTAGAACTTTTGGAAAAATTATATGTTTCTTGGTAACATTTGAAAGCACTTTTCCGGATGCATAAACTATATGACTAAAAATGACCTAAAAGAATAGCAACATTCATCTTAGGTCAGCTTTGCTTAAGGGAGTTGGAATCTTTATTTGATAATATGGACTTCTGTTCATACCAAGATTAATGTCATGTGTTCCTTGACGTCAAATATATCACTGAATTGTTAATTATGTCTAGTCAAAGGCGCAACAAAAAACTTTCTCCAATTGAACAGATGCATGACAAATTTCATATAGTGACAACCATATTTTCAGATTGATTGAAATTTTCCTAACGTCCAGTTTCAAATATTTCATGGATATTCAAAAAAAAAGAGCAAATTAACAAGACATTCAATAGATGTATTCTGATAAGACGGTTGATCGGAATATAGGGCGGGTAATCTAGATTGCCAAACGGACGCCGAATTTTAGCTGAATTTAATGCCGGTGGCAAGAAGTTGCCATATTTCTATACTCCAGTGAACCTCCGGAGAAAATTTGACTGATATGTTAAAGAAATATAGTTTGTTGTACTGTGATACTTACATGATTGTTTGCTTGACCTTTTAAAAAGTTCTTATTAAACGGATCTGTGATCATACATTGATATATGCCAAATTTCTTAAATTTGAAGTAAAAGCGAGGTAAATATAAAAGAAAATATAATTATTCCAAGTTAAAAACCATAAATTGTATATCGAAATTGGACAGATACTAACATATAAGAAAAGATACAAAAGGCAAAGAGCACAATGATTTATATATAATACAAAAATATAGATAGATAATGCAAAGCAATTCAAAACTGTCGGTATACTTACGTACTCCGATAGGGTAAGTTTACAGATGATGTGGCACACATCGTGTAACATAAGATGCAAATTAAACTGTTGAATGAAAACAGTAAATTAAATTTTGAGGTATTGTTTAAGAGGTGTGTTCTGTTAATTTTCAGGCTTTAAACAGATGTTTGGTTTATATAAGAAGAGATACACAAGTGTGTCAAGACTAGATGATAGTTCTACAACTGTTGTGACAAGTTTATCGAGAGGAAGAGTATTTAAAGAGGAATCATCGTTCACCTTAAATGGTAAGGGTTGACAAATGGTAAAACAGTTTCCAGTAGTCAGCGCTTCTGTGTTGACTTAAATTATCATTAATATGGTGATAACTATAAATTCATATAATATGTTAATAAAACTTCGAATTTTTCGAAATACTAATGATTTTCTACCCAAGGAATAGTTTAGCTGTATATGGGAAACCTTTCGGAATTTCGGGTCCTCAAAGCTCTTAAACTTCGTTCTTTATTTGGCCTTTTTGAATTTTTTGATTTCAGCGTCTCTGATTTGTCTTTTGTAGAAGAAACGTGCGTCTGGCGTACAAAATTTTAATCCTGGTATCATTTATGAGTTTATTTACAACATTAATTTAGTCTTTTTGAACAAAGTTCAATGTACAAATCGAAATAGGAAATATTCCACCATTAAAACAAACAAATTCGTTTATTAGAAGCATACCAGGATCAATCGATAGTCTTTATCTTGATCTTTTTCCCTTATTGTAACTGAATAATATAGATACATGGAACCCTGCTGCAGTAACTTATGATGAAATAAATTACGACAACAGTAGCAGGATTACCGATGTTGAAATCTCATAAATCGATTAGGAAAAGACAAATCAAAGTTACAAAAAGTAACTGAGGGAATCGCATGGAATCCAAAAAGAAACGTGACCGGTTGCGACGACAGGGTAAATTGGTGATTTTTTACACTAATGTACACTTTTTATGACGAACATTTCATAGTAATGGACTCATTGCTTGCAACATGAATGCGACTTTGGGTATTTTTTTTTATATGAACACCACTCAAAGTACTTAAAGAGTGTTAACTATTTTAAATCCAGTTTAGGAATAGACGTTTTGTTAGATGAAAGACAATAATTCTTGCATACAAAAGTAAAACAAAAACAACACAAAACCTATTAGTATGTTCTTCGCTATGCCAAAAACAAATATTTGGACAAAATATTATACACATTCAGATGACAACAGTAAATAAGTAATCGGTAGCGTCTTCGTTACATACGCAATAAAAAAACATTTCACGAATTCATGTTATTGCACGAATTCATCTTTGGAGGTGAATTTTTGATTGGCCTACTTACTGAATGAACTTATCGTAGATGGTACAATTGTTTTCTGATAAGATATATATATTTATACATATATATATTGTTTTCTGTTTGGCTTTCAGAAGAAGAGATAGATACATTAAAAATCTAAGGATACTTAACATGGTATTGTAACATACACAATTGTAACACACTTGATGAATTCATGTTATTGTTCGTATTTATCTTAAGAGGTGAACTTTTTTGAATAATCTAGTTACTGAATTAACTAATCGCAGATGGTAAAATTGTTTTCCTATAAGTTATATGAATTAACAATGTTCTTTGTTTGGCTTACAGAAGAAGAGACCCATACATAAGAAAATCAAAGGCTTAATTTATTCAATAATACGGTATTGTTAACAATCAAACATTGTTATCTGGACAGCCAAAAGCTTCCCTTTGTTATATCACAATTGAGATTAGTAATTTATCATTCTGGATGTCATTTGCAGCTGTTGCAATTCTCCTTAGTATTTTATCTGTCATGTTTTACATTTTAAGGAATGTTCAGTGATAATGTTTACCTAATTTGATTTTATTCAGGAAAGACACGTGATGCTTGGAACGGGTCAGCTCAGGCATGCAGTAAGATGGCTATTTACGAGGAATTGAACAATTTAGTGTGTAGTTCATCGGACAATGGCATGTAAAAGAAGAATAGATAATTCATTTTCAGGATTTACTTTATTTCCTATAAAATGCTTGTTACATTCCATATACATGAGGGTTTGGATGGGGGTCCTACATTTCTGCAGTCTTTTATTTTTTACGCTTTTTTTCTATATTTTTATTTTGCCCAATATTCTCTATTCTCGTTTCTATTCTAAAACCCTGTTATTTTTTCTACTCTATATTTTGTTGGACTATTGTTCCCTATTTTTGTTTTTTAGCCCTTTATTCCATATGTTTTGCAAATTAATCTCCATTTTGTAAACCTCATCCAGACCCTCATACACCTATGATGTAAATCATGCTACTTTATAGTTTTATTTTTCATAACTTTGATAATTCTAATTTTGAAACTAAAAAATCATGAAAGCTTTCTTCTAATTAGTTATCAAAGGTACCAGGATTATAATTTAATACGCCAGACGCGTTGCAATTGTTAAGCCTTAATTTCAATATAAGGCTGCAGTGAAAAGAACTATTTTCTTAGATTATCACACCTAAGGTAAATTAGTGACGATGTGATTGTTTAACGCCGTCATGTGGAGACCCCAATGAATTCAAAGAGGGTCAGTATATTTCATAGGGGTATCATAATGTCACGTCTTCTATAACTGTTATTGTGTTTGATTGCTTATTTTCAACATTTTATACAAAAGTTGTCAGGAAAAGTCCCCTGTGCGATAAATTCGTTATATGATTTGCTACTGACACTCAATGAATCCGCAGGGGGTCAGTAGCAAACAGCTTCAAATACGCACAAGGCTGCCTTGTGAAGAATAAATCTGTTATCGTTTTTGTTCTTTTTAAGGTAGGAATACATATAATATCGATTCATATGTTAGACTTAGAATCTAGTATTGCAATTAATCTGGTGCGATATTTTTGAAATTGAGTTATTTCTAATTTAATACGCAAAGCTTGCGTAACTTTTATTTTAATTAGTTAAAATTTAACACTCCAAAAATCTACAGAATGAATATGTTTTACCGTTTTAGAAGGTCATACTTGATCATATTTTGCAAGGGTCATTCTTCCTAATAAAAAAGTGTCTTTTTGAGGCGTCATGAGTCAAGGACACTTTTCTGTGACGTCACAATGGCAAACCCATAATTTATGACGAAAGAAAGGTAGAAAACAGGCTGACTTAAAATTGACTTAAGATGTAATCAACCAGTCAAGAAAAAGTATCAATAAAACGCTAAGAATATAAGAAATTGATATTTACAATAATTTATCATTACATGTTCAAATGTTCTTCAAATAAAAAAAGTTGATAAAATAAACGAACAAGTTCCTAGACGTGTGAATACATTTGCATTAATATTTCCTTAAAAACAAAATGTATTACCACCCACATTTTTGTCCAATCGATCTGTCATATCAATATTACAACGTCTCTCATTTTTAAACAACAAGGACTATCGCGATATGTTTTAGGAGACCTGTCTGTGATGGTTCACTTAAAAAATAATTCTTAAAAGTACAAACATGCCTCTTCGGAATAACACAGTCTTCGTCATGTTTTAATTTGGTACAACTTGTACAATGTCAGACTGTACTTAATAAACACTTATACGAAATATATACTAATAACGATACAAAGATTTGATGCAATTTGTAAACATAAAAACATTAACTATGTATATGAATCCATATGAATTAAAGCATTTGTGCTATTTTAGAATTATGACATCTGTTTTGATAGTTTGAAAAACTGAATAAATCGATTTTCAGCATTTTTTTGTAAAATTATCAATTCTATATTAAAAAACAAAATAAAACACCAACTATAAACAAATTTAAAGTTAGAAATAAAAGTCATCTTTCAATTTTCTAACTAAAACATTTCGTACGCATATTTTTTGATAAAATTATCTGGCATTAATAACTAGAACACAATATGGTCTTGTTTTGAGGTACAAAGCGTGAGCTGGATAGGGAAAACAGATTCCATTAGAAACTTCTCTATGAACTAGTATATATATCAAACCGAAAGGAATAGTCAACGGGGTTACCAGAACCAGAATAGGAAAATATCTAATATTCATAGAATCGTCTAACAATCATGTATCAGTTAATAGAAAAAAAACCTATAAAACCAACTGAAGTAATATAGTAAGTTGTATCAGAGGTCCCCAAAGGTACAATTGTTATGATTGTAAACACAAACTTATATGTTGTTCAAAACCAATTCATTTATATAGATAATTACTTCAACTGATCCTTGCAACCTTTTTATTTTTACAATGTAAATATTGTTCTTTTCATATGTTTAAAATGTTGTGCTGATTTTTACATGAGACCCTTTCCTATGTACTGGATCTTTACAATTGTGAATTAATAAAGTATATTTATTGTTTCCTTACTATTATCATTTTGATAGAGTCTTTTTTACATTTCAAGTTTATGTTGTAGTCATCATTCTAAATGAACCAATTCCTATGTTCGTAAATAGGTGAAATGAAACGTAGCCGCCATTCTGGTTTTTGTTCAGGGCTTTAGGTTTACTTATCTATACTGTTGATAATCGTTGATCTTCTTTAGCCTTCTCTCAGATAGTCCGTCTTTTGTGATTGATAAATCAGTGCCATATTTTTGTGGATTTCGTGGGATGAAAGAACGATTTGTAACAATGACGTATTAATTAACATTTTCAATTTTCCATTTTAATTTTGGTTGCGAAATGCTGTCAATCACTTTGTTAGCAATTTTTTCAGTAACTTGCTATTGTGAAACTGTGATAACCTGTAAATCACTAAAGATCTTATCCTTTTAGAATGGTTCTTTAAGGTAGCACTACAGTCAGACTTTTTTTACTCCAACCAACAGTCTTTAAAGGTTTATTTCTCCTAAACTACTCAATGATTTTTTAAAATCTTTAGCTCATTTCAAAGCTGAATATTTTTCTATCTTCATCTATAGATACAGATATTTTTGGTATGATACATTAGAAATGTAGCTCATATACTGCCAAAAACGTGCTCTTCCGAAATAGCACATTCAGGTCAAATGGTAGTAAAAATTTGTTTCCCCACCTTAGTAGCAATATACCAACTGCACCTGCATATGGATATACATTTCCCAACTCATTCGGTATTCAAGAGCTTGCAGGTGTTATCCAGACTTTATAAAACGCCACCAGTGTCTAAGCAGAATGTTGATGAACCAGGGTTATGTCAAAGAACGTCTCGTCCTTTTTCTAGAAAAAAAGTTCACCGGAAGATATCAAGACCTTGTTGATAAATATTCCGTATCAACTTCACAAATAGTACATAATGGTCTTGAAGCATAGATTCTAGGTACTGACGTTGTTTATCATCTTAATTACGTGTTAAAGTGTTCTGTTATTTGTCTTTGTAAATTATTAACCTTTACTCTCTAGTTCATTTTTGGTAATATCCTTTTGGCGTGTCTAGGTACTTATGCATCCGCCAATGTGTTGTTATGCTGTGGTCATTTTTTGTGTTCTTGTCTTTCATTTTTGCTTCTGTGCTATGTCTATATGCCATTTTGTTTTTCTTGGTTGACATATTTGTTTGTTTTTATAGTGATTAAGGTTTTAACACAATGTTGACTGCTGTATCCTTATTTTTGACATTTTTACCTGTTGTGTCTGTTTGTTTTGTTCACACATTGTTGAGAGGTCAAGCTAGCTATAAACCAGGTTTAATCCACCATTTTCTACATAAGGAAATGCCTGTACCAAGTCAGGAGTATGACAGTTGTTTTCCATTCGTTTGATGTGTTTGAGCTTTTGATTTTAGCATTTTAAAAAGGACTTTCCGATTTAAATTTTCCTTGGAGTTCTGTATTTTTGTTATTTTACTTTTTCATCCCTCTAATTGACCATACACAAGCTACAAAATGTTGTCTCAGATTTTTGATAAATGCCTCCAGATAGAATATATATTGATTAACTGCTGGGTGCCGTACCTCCATTCACCTTTCATCTTTGGAGACCTATAGATTCATTCAGATACAAATTAAAAATCGCCTTTATAGCAGTATATTTGTGTTAGAGTTACAAAAATGTCGTGATGCAAGTTATTGCAAGGACATATGCATTACTTTAATTTTGAATCATAATAAGTCAATTAAAGTTTGCATTTTCTAATGTTTATCATAGTATCAAACTGGTTGCAATGCCAACAGATAAATCCAACATTCCTCTTTGGGGATTTGAAAAGGGGAATCAAGTAAGACGACAGTAGTGTCCAAATCTCGTAAATCGATTAGGAAAGACAAATCAAGGTAACAAACAAAACCTAAGGGATCGCATGAACTCTAAAAGAAGCGAGACTCATTGTGTCGAAAGGGTAGGCGTCTTCTGCTATGCATCACCCGCCCTGCGAATTTTCACTCAGTCTAAATATCATGTTTCAGTTACAAAGTTGTAATGATTAATCGAGGTACATATTCCTAGAGAAGCATGAAAAGAGAATGGTGTATCATTTATCTGCTAAATAATGAATGTCTTACGATTTGGGTTAGTATGTTAAACGTTTGATAAAGACATAGACACTTAACAAATCATTTGCCTGTACTAAATACTTACTAAACATTTTAATACACAAGATCTTAGTAGTGCGTTTTAATTTTTTTTTATTCCGATCCTCACTGATGAGTATTTTATAGACGAAACGCTCGTCTGGCGTACAAAATTATAAGCTTGGTATTTTGATTATTTTTTTTGACAACCACTAGGTCAATGCCACTGTTTTTGGAGGTTTCCGCCTCCAGGGTTTAACAAACCCATTATCCAGCACTTCTGAATTATCATTGATATTTCCATATTTATAAATTTACTGTTTACAAAACTTTGAATTGTTCAAAATATTAAGGATTTTCCTCCTAGGGAATAGATTCCCTTATATGTATTTGGCAAGACCTTTCGGAATTTTTGGTCCTCAATGCTCTTAAACTTCTTATTTCTTTGGCCTTTTAAGGTATTGTTTTTATTTGAGCGTCACTGATAAGGAGTAATTAAAATGGTTATATACCTAACTAAATCTCTAAATTGTATGACAGTTGTATATAGTTCGTTATCTTGACACAAGTTGGTGAGCAACCAAACAGTCATAATAGGTTAATGTGACAATAAACTAATCAAAGATAGCAGGATTAAAATTGGGTGCGCCTAACTCTCGTTCCGTCTACAAAAGACTCATCAGTGACGCTCAACTCAAAAAGTTAAAAGATCAAATTAATTACGAAGTTGAAGAGCATTGAGGATCCAAAATATCCGATTGCAAAATAAAGCTTAGGTAATCTTACATCACTGGGTCGATACCTCTGCTGGTGCACTATCAGTCCCCGAGGGTATCATCAGCTCAGTAGTCAGTACTTCGGTACTGACATGATTTATAACAAACCTTTCTAAAATTACCCGTTGTTAAATTTTGAAATTATAAAGAAACTAAGGTTTCAACTCCCTCAGGCAAAGTTAGATAAATTTGGCTATTTGTTTAAGGTATTTTTGTCATATAGCTCTTCTTATACATCCCTCGGATTTCAAATGTTTGGCTTTGAGCGTTCCTGATGAAGGTAAATCCAGAAAAGCGCTTCGGACGCATGACATTATTAAACGTGTTTTTTTCAATTTGTTTCTATGATTGGGATACAGCAGCCAAAACTGTGTAAACATGCATCACAAACATACAAACAACTGATTAAAAATTCAAACAAACATTAAAATAAATCTAAATAAAGGCAACAGTAGTATACCGCTGTTCAACATGTCATTAATCGATTTAACTTAAACAAATTCGGGTCACAAACCAAAGCCGAGGAAAACATATCAACTATAAGAGGAAAACAACGGAACAACATAAACAGTGAACTGCTACAAAAACAAACGCCAACATACATAGAAACGATCTTTTTGATAACAACTGCCATATTCCTGACTTGGTACAGGAAATTTTAAGAAAAAAAATTGTGGGTTGAACCTGGTTTCGTGGCTAGCCAAACCTCCCGCTTATATGGCAATGTTAAAAATACAGCTAAATTACAACATTACGTGACAGGAATACATTACAACTAAACGCAAGAACACTCAGGACAGAGACAAACATGAAATTCCCCATTTCCATTCTCAATTTTATAAATCAATAATAAAACAATACATTACGACATGTAAACCACAGAAAAACAACGGACACCTCTCATTAACACCACAATAGAATTATGAACTGTGCGTCACACGAATGTATCAAAGCCACAAAAAGTGACGTCACAGGTAAATTTCTAAAAATAAAATATAAAATTGGGATTATGGTTGTAATGGTGCTATTTTATGTATTTTCTAACCATTACAAGAATATTGATATAGAATTGTGTTAGTAATGGTATAATTATTTGTATTTTCTAACCATGTCGGTTTTTACTTTTAAATCAAAACTGTAAAAACTAATTAATCCTGTGCATATAGTAGCTGAAAACTAAAAATCATATAAATGAACTAGCTGATTAATTATCTTAACTTTTACATACATGTATAAAATAAAAATAGAATTCAAAACACAAACGATAAGACATAACACAATATCCAGAATTACAAACGAAACATCGCAACTAAATACATAAATGTTGGATGTATAAATACCGAGCCACGTCTAATAGCAATGCGAATTCACACTCGGGGAAAACAGTAATATTCGGGAATAGGTCACGCTTGGTACTTAGCAGATCAGACGACGTAGATGATAAACCACAATCGAAGACGTGGTAAAAATGTCGTTAGTTAGTTTAGACACAGACACATCGTATAGATCAATCAATTTGTGATGATGTCCGTAAAATTTACAGGGTGTCATTTTTAATCTTTCCTCCTCATAACTCTGTTTGAGCAGTTTCTGCGTAAGGAGCACAACAAAGACGCCAACAAAATGATTTTGTAGTTGATAGTACAAACAGTATATAGTATATACTTTATCGATAATGTACAAATTACTTATCGTAGCATAAAAATGAATTACCAACAAATTACCCATTACATTTTTCTGGAAGTTTAAGTTAATTTCAATTAGAATCTGAAAAATTAAGTTCAAAATTGCATATCGTTATTGAAAGAAAACTCAATGACGTCAACAGATTTTAAAATGTAAAGGAATCTGTATCTTTTAAAATTAAATAGACGTAATTAAATTGTAATCGAAATAGTTAGAAAATGAGATATTTGTAAAATTATAAATGATAACTTATTAAACTATTTTTTTTTTACATGTGAATAGTTATATTTTATGAAAACTCCGTTTCAATAGTTCAGTTTCAAAACTTTCAACGTTATATGCATATTGATTGAAATAATGACACTTTTACGAATAATATGGATACTAATATTTACCGACCATTCATGTC